AGAAATCTCTCGACGAAACCGCCAAGTTTGACCGATTCTCCGGTCAACGCATTCACCCTGGTAAAGTGGCAGGGTGGGCGCTCACCGATGAGCTGCACGCCGCCGTCACCCAGCTCACACTGGCGGATCGCCCCCTCCGAGTGGTCGATTCCTTCAAGCTCGTCGGGAGTTACATCAACGCCGAGGCAGCGCCGGCTCCAGCCGCGCTTAACCTCACGGCCACCGCAGACGCCCGTGTGCGGAGGGCGACTATCCGCCTGCCGCGCATTGGCAAGCTCCCGTCGCCGATGCTTATCAAGGCGCGGCACGCCCGATCCCTGGCCGCCAGCGTCTGCACCACGGGCACCGACATCCAAGCACCATCAGGCCCAGCCAAGACTGCCTACAACCACGCCCTCAAGGCGGCTATCCGCCCCAAGGGGAACAAGTGGGTCGAGTTCTGGACTCTCATGGCCGTGTGCGTGCCGGGACACGCCCTTGAGATCGACGCCATCACGCAGCGTGAAGCATTCCTGTGCCTGCGGCGTCAGGTTAACCGCGACGTCACACTCTGCGGGCTCGCCAGAGACCTCCAACACCACGTCCAGACCCTGTTTGGTGGAGGACCCGTCGGGCGACTCGTCCAGTCGCTCCAGCAGCTCCGATGGACCTGGCCCACATTTGGCATCATGTACGATGACTGGGGCTGCCCGATCAGCTGGCTGAATCTACCCCAAAACGCCTTCCTGCACATGCTGCGGGCCTCACAACGCAGGGCATTTCTGCGGAAGATCAAGCCACGGCGACACGACCTTGGCTACCTCGCCTCGGTCAGACAGGGCCTTGACCTCTTCGCCAGCACGTGGCTCGCGCGAACCAAAGGAGCAGCCAAATGCACTGCCTGGCAGCTGGCGCTCCTCCTGAACTACCTGTCGGGCGGGGACCACACCCAACAGCGACGATCCCGATCCAACACGTCGGCAGACCCCAGCCCCATGTGCCGCTACTGCGACGAGGAAGAGGAAACTCAGGAGCACACTGTCCGCGACTGTAAGTGCTGGGCCCGAGAAAGAGTTCCTCTCACCACCCTCATCAGTGACGACCAGTGGGCCCGTCTTCCGCCGCACACAAGACACTGCGGGCTCTTCGACGAAGACCCAGCCCTCCTCGACCTGCAGGCCGACCTCGCGAGGGACCCGCTGCCACAGCCCATCCCGCGGCCCCCCCCTGAGGGTGATCCTGCGGCTTCAGCCCAGGACACCTACACCACCTACCTTGACAACGACACTGGATGGACATGGGTCTATGCTGCCACGGACGGTGCGTGCACCAACCAAGCCATCCCACTCCTAGCACGAGCGGGCTACGGCGTCTACTACGGCATCGACCACCGCATGAACTACAGTGCACGCGTTCACGGCCTAACGCAGAACGCCCAGGTTGCGGAGACCCTTGCCATCGTCCACCTTACGGCGTGTGCCGAACGGCCCGTGCACGTCTTCGTGGACAACCAGGCGGTGGTCGATGGGTTCCAAAGCATCATCGACGGACATCCAGCGCCGCAGGGCACGCACGCGGAGCTCTGGGCAATGATTCACCGATGTGTCATGGCCAAGCCCGACATGTTTCGCGTCGAAAAAGTCGCCAGCCACCTGGGAGACCTGGGCATCGACCTTGGGCTCATCGGGCCCATCGCGGAGGAGTTCAACCGTCA